CACTAGAAGAGATCAAACAGGTTTTAGAGGGCTGAGAACTGTTTGTCCTGGCAAACAGGTCTTGTTTGGTGGATGTTACCAGGAACTGAAGTTGTGAGTGGAGTACACTGGCATTGAAATGCTCCTTAATGATGATTGCTCATTGCAGTTGTGTTTTTCCTTTTAAGCCTTTGTGTGATGCAGATGAGACACTGGGTTGGTGGAGGAATTATGTGGAATCACAGCAAGTTTAGGGACATCTACTACTTCCTTGCAGTGATGCACAGAAGACACCTCTCCTTTCCTATATAAAATACTTTTTGCCCCCATATTTGTGTATATAAAATTTGGAAATGTGCTCTTTGCTGAAGCTCTTGTTCCCAAAGAAACCTAACCTACCAGCAAGCTATCCAGCTTACATTAAGACATCTGCATGCATAATTGAGACATGACTGGAGGGTTCCATGTGAGTGTTTTTTTTTTTTAACTGTTAGCTTAAAGCAAGTAGTCTGCAAATCCAAGAAATGTACCAGCCACTCTCTTCAAGTCCCACATGTAGCTTTAACTCCCCCTGGCTGCGGGAAAATCACTGAAATGCTGCTGTTGGCCTATCTGACTGTTGTGTGGTGCCTTTCTCTATTGCAGCGCTTCAAGTGCTCTGTGTACAGGCGATACAATGACTTTGTGGTGTTCCATGAGATGCTGCTTCAGAAGTTCCCATATCGAATGGTGCCTGCACTTCCACCGAAGAGAATGCTGGGAGGTAAACATGTGGGGCTTTGTAGTGACTGGATGGGCTCTGGTGTGAGTGTGCTTGTGAGAGGACAGTCAAGAATGTAGCTGTCTTGAAGAGGCCATCACATTTGTGTTCTTCGGTTTATAAAGCAATGTGGACACTGCAGTGTAGAGCTTGGGGATGCCCAGCAACACACCGCTGGGAGTCCTTTTCAGTAAGCCATTACTGTAAAGACCCACTGCTAGCTCTCCAGTGTAAGTTGAAAATTCTGTGGCATTCATGAAAAGCATAAGGCTAGCCTCAGAGTGGGATAGAGTCAGCTATTTCTTCCCCAGTAAGGTAGCTTATAATGTCCATGGTGCTGGTGCATATTGGAGAGTGTGGAATGGCTACTGAAACATACGTGAAGCAGCTGCAGGATGTGCTGTGACACAGCACTTTATGAAGTGCTCTGAGTATGAAAGATGCTGTAGAAATAGGCTTGCCAGATACCTTCACAAAAAATCCCAAACATGGTGGGCGGGGGGAGGGGAAATTGGTTGAGTGCAAAAAAAAAAAAAAGTCACTGTGCCTTTAAATCCCCCCCACTCCGGCCTTCCATATGAGGAAAAACACAAGATATCTATTTTCTGGTTTTGTTTTTTTTTAACCGGACAGGGGCCACAAATACTGGACTGTCCAGGCGAAAACTGGACACCTGACAATCCTATGTAGACACCCCTTCTCTTTTCTGTGGTGGGAGAACCGTAGAGATGGAAAGTGGGGAAAAATAATTTTCCTATGAAAGGGCTTAAATGCTCCAGGAGAAATGAGTGTGTAAAAAAAAAAAAAACAAAGTTTACACCCTGCAGTGTGAATCCCTTACTTCAACTTTTCTTTGTTCAAGCTTATGGCCTCTATGTTGGGTCTCAGACTTCCAGCTTGTGGGCCATCTATGATCCTAGCACTTACCCAATCTGGCTGGCAACATAATTTAAAAGTTACTTAGTCAGGCCTATGCAACTGTTGGCCCTTGGGGAGAGCATGAGGGGACAGGCAGCGCGTAGGGACTCACCCGCACACACAAGTTCCAGCAGCACCTACACCCCCAGCGACCACATAGTTCCAGCCATATAGGATGCTGTTCAGTTCAGGAAGCCGCGCTAGCTGCTTCTGCAATGTGAACCATGCTAGCTAGGGAGCTGCCCAAGTTGATGTGCTTCTGCAGCCAGCAGGGTGGGGCCAGTGGGTTTCATTTTCAGTTACCCCAGGCAGGGTATCCCAGTGTGAGGATGTGGATGTTAATGGGGGAGGAGGAGAGGCAGGTTCCCAGTCTGAGGGCGTGGGATGTTAGCGGGGGGCAGGAGGGAAGAGGCATCCCAGTGCAAGAATGGGGGTGTCAGGGTGAGGATGCAGTTTCATGTCTTTTGTAGGATCCTAGTGTCTGGGTGGGCTCCTGGGCAAAAGGGGAGACACTATAAACTTGCACGTGCTGTATTGCCAATCACAAGAGTTTAAAACTCATGAATCAGCCCCCACACTATCAAAAAGAGATTGACTTCTTGAAATCACAGATGAAAAATACACTTGGAGATTTTTTTATTTGGCATCTGGTGTTTGAGGTCTTTGGCGGAACTCAGGGCACATTTTCTAGCTTTTCTCCACAAACCGTGAGACCTAAAGTCTTTGTTTTAAAAGAAAAAGGCTGGGATTCTCTTCCTCTAATACCATATACCAATAAACAAGCATAATCTGCTAAGGCAGAGTGAGTACAGTTGATAGTGGTTCAGGAGGCATCAGGTAGTGAAGTTCTCAGATATGGTTTAATTCTAATAATGTGGCTATGGCTTTCCGGGGTGGGGTGGGGGAACCAGTTATCAGGAAGCTTGTGATCAAATCAGTAGAGTTGGCATCACAGATAACTGGTTAATTTAACATCACAGCTTACACCTATGGACAGGATGGTTCTGCTCATACCTCCCCAGGGCCACAGGGATGTGCCAGTAGTGGCATGGGGCTAATAGCCAGAAGTCACTCTAGCCCTGCTGCGCTGCCGGTGGTGGTGATGGTGGCCCCTGTAGGGTTTCAAATTGCCTGGGGACAGTCTGGGCATCACAGATAACTGGTTAATTTAACATCACAGCTTACACCTATGGACAGGATGGTTCTGCTCATACCTCCCCAGGGCCACAGGGATGTGCCAGTAGTGGCATGGGGCTAATAGCCAGAAGTCACTCTAGCCCTGCTGCGCTGCCGGTGGTGGTGATGGTGGCCCCTGTAGGGTTTCAAATTGCCTGGGGACAGTCTGCGAAGCTGGTGTGAGACTCTGCCCCATCCTGGAGCCCTGCCAGAGGGGGGTGCATGCTGGCCTGCTAGGAGGATTTTAGGACTGGCACTGGCCCCAAGGTAAGACTCCTGCTCTAAGTAAATAGCTTCTCCAGGACGTGGCATATCCCCCAGAGACTTTTCTATACCAATACTGGTCACACAAATTGAGTAACTGTCCATATATAAAAGGTATCTTCCTATCTGAGAGATCATCCTTCTTCTCAGGATAGTTTTTTCTTGCTCTGCTTTACACACAGATTGTCTAGTTCTACTTTAGAAATAACTAGAAACTAAAAAGATGAATGATGGCTTTGGATTCGTTGTCATTGCATTCATATTCTAATGGTTACAGCATACTTATGGATAGTGAAATGCTCTAAGCCTGACTACACATCCATACTACATTCCATACATTTTTCTCTAGTCACATATCTTGACTCTGTATTTACATTTTATTTTTATTGTGTAATGTTACATAAGTCTTTTATACAATTTTGTTTCTGCTTTATATGCTAAAGAACAAACCTTTCACTGTCTCATCTTCTGCTAATATTGCTAAACTTAACATTTCCCAATACATTTTTCATTTAATTCATGGAGTCCACATCATCCCATAGAAAAGAAGAATCAGAAATTAGTGAAAAGATCTGGAGGAGGGATTAAAGAGAACTAGACCAGGCCAGAATGATGATTCTGGAGCTAGTCTGGTAATGTTGCCAATTTCTGCAGAATGTAAGATGTCAGGGTTGTTGTTGTTTTTTTTAAACTGGCTCTTGAGGTTTCACAGTCTGTGAGAATTCACAGGCCTACATCCTGAAACAATACTTGTGAGAAGAGTGACTTCTTCTGTTAATAATGGAGGAATGTTGATGCTAAAACCTAAGAACTACTGGTAACACTACTGAATATGAACACTATTGCACTGCTGATAAATCCTCTTAAATAAAATGATCAGTGAGTACAGATCACATAGAAGTAAGAAATGCAAAATATCTATTTTTCCAGCCCAATATTAGTATGAATTATTCTCTATTCTATCTTCCCATGCTTTATTCTATGTATTTTTAAACGGACCAAATGTTGGAGCTTCCATCACTCCCCATAGGATACTCTTCTGTGGTCCAGTGGTCTCCAACCTTTTTAAGCACGAGATCACTTTTTAAATTTAAGTGCAATCTAAGATCTACCTCAAATATAAATACCCTTCCTTCCTGTCCCTTGCCCCACTTCTTTCCTGCCCCTTCTCTGAGGCCCCGCCTCCAGGCACTCCATCCTCCCTCTCTTGCCTCCCACCCTCACATTCATCAGGCTGGGGCAGAGAGTTGGGGTGCTGGCTGTGGTCTTTTTTGAAGGATCTGAAGTATGAGAGGGGCTCTGAGCTGCTCTTGGGACAGGCAGTTGGGATGCAGGAGTGCTTGGGGCTAGGGCAGGGGCTTGGGTTGTAGGAGGGGGGTCATGACTGTGGTAAGGTTTCAAGATGTGGGCTCCAGTTGGACTCAGCTTACCTCAGGTGGCTCCTGGGTGGTGGTGCAGTGGGGCTAAGGCAGGCTCACCCCTGGCTTGGCCCTGCACCACTCCCAAAAAGCAGCCAGCAAACTCCATCCCAAGTCCTGTTGTGCCCCCTCTCTGCTTTTTGGAGAAAGGATGCAGAGTGGGAGGAGGCACCTTGATATGAACACCCCTCCTTTCCCAGGCTAGAAAGCAGGAGGCTCCCCAGGAGGACGGGCAGCTCTAAGGCAAAGGGCAGGAGATGAGTAGCGGCGGGGGGAGGGGCAGTTGGAGTCCTGGCACTTTATAGCCTCTTGGCCTAGCCAGTCAAGATCATCTGTCAGAGGCTCCAAGATCTACCAGTAGATTGGGCTCTTCTGGTTGGTGACCACTGCTGTAGTCCAACATATCTTACATTATAGGAAGTTATTTACCATCTGATTTTTTTTTTCCATCTTAAATTTTTCTTTTAAAAAATCTTGTTGCTAGTTCTATCCAGTGTTGTGTATGAGCCATAAGGTGTGTTTGGGGGAAGGGAGGGAGTAGCAGCCATAGCCACTAGATGAAGCGCTTGGAGCAATTGAACAGAGCGGCGTTTCACCATTCTCTCCTTCCGTCCCATGGACTTTGACTTGAGTGTCTTCCTCCACAGAAAATGAGTGGTAGTAAGAACTATAACACTTTACAAGAAACAGAGCAAACTACAGTTAAAATTCTTCTTGGTACTTGTTTTTTCACTACATGTTTTCAGGGGTGGATATATCTAGTTAGATTATTAAAACAGGGAAACTAGCCGAGCACATGGTCTTAGGGAATCAGAGTGGACTTGTGACCTGAGCAACTGGAAATTGCTTGGTGGGTAAGGATCATTGTGAGGCTGCTTATGGCCAATAAACTCATGTTAAAAGCGAACTGGGAAGGAAAAGGCAGTGCTGCTCTTCATTGTCCCTTTATGATGTGAAACTATTGCCAGGGACCATTCTAATATGTTGTGGCCTAGAGTCATTAGGCTATTTGTGTACTTAAAAGGCCACGTCATTTTTTTTTGCAACTCTTTCTTCTCCTTAAAAAAATGCTTCTCCTTTTTTTGTTCTTTTTTTTGTTTTAACTTTACAAATATCAGCTTTGGACTTCACTTCTTTCTGGAAGACTTTGGCATGATATTTGAATGACTTGGATAAGGATGTGACAGTAGTCTGAAATTACAAAACACACCACACCAAACCAATCCCAACCCAAACAAGGTATGGGACAAAGGTATTTCTGGAGAAAAGATTTTGAAGCCATCTTTCCACAATGTAAAGGAGCAAAAAAGAGTACAAATGTTAAATTTGCTTTGCATATAATCTTTTTAAGGTATGGGATGTTTCACTTCGCATAGGACCTTAGTTCACAGCTGGTGCTTATAAAATTATCTGTATTGTAGTTGCGCCTAGAAGCTCCACATAAGGTAAGGGTCCCATTGAGCCAGATGCAGTGTAAACATGAAGAGACACTCTGGCTATGTCTGCACTGTAGACCAGGGGTGGGCAAGAGAGCCGCTGTGGGCCGGATCCTGCCTGCCAACCGTACTGATCTGACCCGCAGTCGCCCTGTCACTCCCCTACCCCCAGGCCAATTGAGACCTGAGACGGGGGAGCGTGCAAAGTCTCCTCCCCGTGCCAGGGATGTGCAGTGCCTAGAGTGAACTGCCAGCTGTTCAAAACAGCTGGTGGTTCACTCTAGGTGCTGTGTGCCCCTTGCAGGGTGGGGGCAGCAGAGCAAAGACTTTACGTGCTCCCCCACCCCCGGGCCAGTCAGGGTCCTGGCCCCGCCCTTCTGCCCAGGCCTCTCCCCTTCTGGGGCAGCCTAGGGTCACTTCAGAAATTTGTGAAGTGATCCCCTTCAAAAATTATTGCTCAACAAAGTTCTGTCTAAGCTGCGTGGCTGTGCAACTATTTTCTGAGCCCCGCGCAGGCAGGGAGCTCAGCTGACCAGTGGGAATTGGGACATCTGTAAACAGCAGCTAAATGCTGCTGCGTGCTGAACTGAATGGCTCCCAGAGCAGAAAAGCAGATGAGAGAAGCAGCCAAGATAAGGATGCAGTAAGTGGCTGGAGGGAGGTATTGGGGGAAAGTCAGAGGAGAGGAGAGTTTGGAAAGTCCCATTCACTAGAGGAGACAGGTAGAAACTGAGCAATCTCTTCAAGCCTCCTGGGCTGGGAAGAGGAAGGTAAGGGCTAACTGCATGGGGTAGGTGGAGGAAGGAGGAGATGGGTAGGTGCTGGCATCTGTGCAGTGAAGTAGAGACAGGAGGCAGTTTGTTTGGGGTGTCCGGACTTGCTGCAGTCCTCTCTGTTAGGCTGGGTTGGAGGGGGTAGGAAAAGCAGCCTGCATGGAGAGTGTGTGTGCGCAGGCTAGGAGGATGTTAGCATGGTTGCATTTCAAACAAAGTTTACATAGGTGTTAATGGCTTAAGATAAGAAAAAAGTTTCTTTTAACAGAATCTTTTTGGAGTGTTGCCAATATCTAAAACTCTGAACTTATATTTTTTAATCCTGTGTTACTAATTTATACATGGTAAACTGTATTGCACTAAGGCCAGATCTTTGCTATGTGGTAAAGTTCTGGCTCTGATGAGTCAGAAGTAGCAAGTACCAGGTGTGATGGTAATTTTGTAGGATGAAACAGGCCTCTATCTACAAACCCTGAAATCATGTGTTCTGGGGCTTCTATTCTTCGAGTGGAAGAAGGCTAATTCCCTACCTTTGTAGTCACTATGGGTACTTCACAGCAATTAGACACAGGTGTCTTGTTTTAATACATTTTCTTCCACACATATGGACTGCTTAAAATGTATGTGGATATGTGTGTTGTTTGTACTAGTGGTGCACACACTACTACAGTACTGGTTTTGCATATAAGAAATTTCAACCCGCCCAAGGATAGAAAATGTTAGAGGGAACACTGTTGCCCACCCTTGCTATAGACCTTGAAGCAGCTGCACTTGCTCCCCTGTATGGTCTCCCATGTAGCACTCTGTGGTGACAGAAGACTGCTCTCCAGTTGGCTTAATTAAACCACTTCTAATATATGGCACTTCTGCGGCTGAAAACTTATGCCAGTCGGCGTTTGATTTTTACCCCGATAATAGTTTGACTTAAAGTGCCAGTGTAGCTATTGTCTCCCTGTACATAAGAATTTGCAACTAGGGCTCCAATCCTGCAAATTCATACTTGATTAATTTGACTCACCTGAGTAATCCTATTGAGGTAAATAGGAGCAGAAGGGTTTGCAGAACTGGAGCCTTAGTGAGGACAGGCTGTAACAGACCATTTGAGGGAGTGGGGGTTTGCAGTGTTGTGATAACTAACAAGTAGACCAGTGTAACCAGCAGATCTGTTGCATGGCGCAGCTGATGCTTTCTTGGATTTTGCTGCAGATGCAAATGCAAGAGAGTAGTTTGACTTGATGGTGTCTGTCTCTCTTCCTAAGCCTGTTGTAGTGCCTAGTGCATTAACACAATGTTGTGTTTCCTTCTATAGCTGACCGAGAATTCATAGAATCTAGGCGGCGGGCTCTAAAGCGTTTCATTAATCTGGTGGCTCGGCATCCTCCTTTCTCAGAAGATGTGCTCCTGAAGCTCTTTCTCTCCTTTAGTGGCTCGGTGAGTACTTGTTAATGATGCAACATGTGCACTGGGAAACAGTTGCTGGGTTTAGAGCTGCTTATTGCCTGCACATTTATCATACCCACAATTGTAATCCTGGCTACAAGGGGCTAGTGGAGCATTTCCTTTGCACTGGGTATCTCTGCTACTGGACGGTGGGTTGTGTTGTCATCCCTAGAATGCTGTAGGTATGAGGTCTTTAAAATAATGCTCTTTCCTGTGGCAATATGTGTCATACCACTCCTTATTGCTGATCTTCCCCAGAAAGGTATCTCACCAGAGGAGTGTTAAGAAACGATGATGTCATTATTCGAGTATTTTTCTGTCTCCTAATGCAATTTTTTTTTTAGCACAGGAGGAACTTTCTCAGGTGAATGCCGCATTTGAGGTGCAGGGTTAACATTTGGATATGTTTAAATTTTAGAGGAAGGGATGATATGGATGGGCAATGGGGACCTCTGGGGGTGGTGGTGGAGAGGAGGGATTCACCAGGCAGCGGCAGGCAGTGGGGGCTTTAGGAAAGGGCTGGAACATGGACATGAAGAGGTGGAATTCAGGTGGGGCCACCATGGCTCAGGCATCCGGGGGCAGGTGAGCAACAGCTATGTCAGGAGAGGCTTAGCCTCCTCTGGCCTATTATATCTGCCATGTTTGGTGATATGGGAGTTGGAAATTCACAGAAAGAGGTGGGTCAGGGGTCTACAAATAAGCACAGGATACAGAATCACTTTTTTTTTATGCTCCTTTGCCATGAGAGGTTGATTTGTCCCTCAAGGAGGAAGACTTAAATGCCATGAAAAGGTGGACCTTTTCAGTATGTAATAAAAGTAACCATCAACTGTGGATTCTTGCTTCAGAGCATAAGAAAGCTCAAGTTTTAACAGGACTGAAATTGTTAAATTTCAAACACAGTCATTTGTTGTCACTGTGTGAATTGCCTGATGGGTTTGATTGGTTGACTGGTGGCAGTTTCTTTTTCTTTTCTAGGATGTGCAGAACAAGCTGAGGGAGCTGGTCCAAGGAGTGGGAGATGAGTTCATGATTTGCCAACTAGCTCCCCGGGCCAAGGTATTTTTTTTTATGACCCATGGGCACAGGGTCTTGTATCTGCTGGGTAAAAAAGAGTGGCTGTAATTGAAGAGGAAAGGAACAATTTATGCAGAGGACTGTAATGGAGCTGCTTTTGACTTCTATTTTCTTTAAAACAAAACACATAGCTGGTTATTTTCAGGCCCAGTATGTCCAGTCTGGATCTACGTAGTAAAATGTCACACAATTAGAGTGAGAGAAGTCTTTATCCAAATGCACATTCCTCAATAACTATAAACAACGTGCACAGTGTGAACGTTCATCCTGTTGCTTCCTTTTCCTTTATATTATCATCCCCCTCTTTCTATGAGAGAAGCTATGAATCTCACCATTTTTTTGTTTGTCTAAGGCTGCTGTACCCTAGTTGTGTCTCTTTCTTGCCAAGCCTGACATTACTGCTCCCCTGAGATGCTTGCTTATGTGGAAGTTCAGCCTAGGGTAAGGGGAAAATAAAGAAGCCAGTGAAGGGTTAAATTTTCTTTTTAAAAAAAGGTCTTTACAGCTTCTAGCATAGCAGGGCTCTGTTTTGTGACTGGGGCTGCTGGGTGCTATTGCAAGACAAATAAATGATAAAGATATTACCGTTATTACTCAGCAATCCTGCCCCCGGCGTGTATATCATTCACAGTGCTTGACACTAAGGGGCAGTCATACTTTTACTGATGTTAGTGCTGCAGAACAAATCCAGCTGTGGGACATTGAGCTGGATCTTATCGTGCCCATGCATCACCAGTAGAATGGTTAGCAAAGCTCCGGTTGCACAGTGTTTTACTGATGAAAACAAGCAAGAAGAAACTGCTTGTAATACCTGGTTGAGTTTGCAGGGCTACGGTTAGAAGTTCTGGCAGGGAGTCACTGATACGCCCAGGATATCACAATACCATATTGAATGGCTCCTCTCAGAGCATACAACCATTTTAGGTATTATCAGGCTAAGTACTCCTAATCTTTCTGCTTGTGACTTATCGTGTAACTGGGTCCATTACTAAGCTCTCTTTTGCTGCCTTAGGACTTCCTCCCAGCTGACATCCAGACCCAATTTGCTGCCAGTCGAGAGCTTATCCGAAATATCTACAACAGCTTCTACAAACTGCGGGACCGTGCAGAAAGAATAGCTTCCCGAGCCATTGATAATGCCTCAGATCTTCTCATATTTGGAAAGGAGCTAAGGTAGATTAGGGCTCCCTCTAGGGTACTCTTCTGTGAATATTCTTGTGTTTTAAAGAGAGCAATAGTTGTACCAGCAGAATATCTATGAGGATAAGGCCTGTATTTCTAAAGACGCAAGGCACAAACCAGGATCCCTTTTTCTGGTTGCAGAAAGAAGAATATATGGTGTGTTCCCCAAAGTGAGGGAGAGAAAATGGCAATACATTGATATTCTGGAGCTGATTTACACTTGTATGAAGTGGTACAGTCCCTGAGTACATGGATGTGTGATCATGCACATGCACACACCCTTTTACGTGCTGTATATGTACACACACGCCGCATTTTTGTTTTAAATTAAAACACTGATGTGCTTGCTAGTGCACAGTTCACATCATTCTCTCTCTCTCTGTTGTGTGTGCATATGCTCATCTACAGACACATATCCAAACTGCTATCATTGCACTGTGCTGCTAACCTAACCCTGGAAAGTAGATATAAACTTACTGCTTCCTGATTCTTAGGGGACTGCTAGTGAGTTTTGAGAGGGGGAACTTCCAGTAACTATTGGGATGGGTAAAATTATCAGACAAACCTAGCTTCTTAGCGGGATCTACTCACTGTCTCTGCTTTCCTCTCTCAGTGCTTTGGGCTCAGACACTACACCACTTCCCTCCTGGGCTGCTCTGAACAATAGCACGTGGGGGACTCTGAAACAGGCTTTAAAAGGCCTATCCATCGAATTTGCACTGCTAGCTGACAAGGCTGTACAGCAGGTGAGTTCCTCTGCCATGTTGTTTCTCTTGTATAATTGCAGTTGCTGCACTTAGGGTACTATGTAGATGCACCCTGAACTAGAAATAAGCTGCTCAAATTGACTATCTTATCGTGAATCTTTTTCAAAATAGCTTGTTTTGAAATTTGGCGCATCTACACAGCGCCAAATTTTGAAATAATGCACTATTTCGAGCCATCCCTTAACTCTCGTGCAACAAGGTTTACTGGGATGGCAAAATAGAGCTCCATTATTTCGAAAAATATTTTGAAATAATGGGTGGCTTGTGTAGATGCGGAATAGCTATTTAGGGATACCTCCAGTATCCTGAAATAGCCGTGCACTTTAGACATACCCCGAGAGAGGTATTTTCTGCCTTGTGTCACTTCTTGATTAAAAGGCCTTCTAGACATGGTTGCCCCAGAACTTACTCCCTCTTTCTTTGCAGCCCAAAGCCATGCTGAACTGGCCAGGTATGGCATAATGGAGAGGAAAAAAGACTGGGGGCGGGCGGATGGGTGGAACTTTTAAAAAGGCTTAAAAGAATAAATAGTAACTGTCTCAAGTGATCCAAGAATCCTGCATTCTGCTTGGCTCAGATGGTGTGGTGGATATAGTCCAGCAGAACCTGTTTCTGTAATAAGTTGTGATCTTAACCGCTTGTTAAACACTACTTGAAACTCATTCAGACAGAACACAAGCGGTCTTATTGCTGCTGAGACAGCACACTGTGATAACTACTCTTGGAATAATATAAACACACAACAGTCCAAAAAGGTAGTGAAAATAAACTATCACTTACAACTATCATTCCATGGTGCTAAAGATATTCTTGGCGCGTTACAAATAAATCAGATCAGGTTTCGGCACCAAGGAGCCTAAAGTTCTAGAAGAACTTCTAGAGCCTCGCATGACACAGGAAGGGAGATGGGACATAAGGAACAAACAAGCAAGTGCTGAAGTTTAGAGTGTGTTTTGTCAGCTCTGTCTTTTGTTTCATTAAGTATTCTAAGGGGGGAGTGCTGGTATTTATAGGTTACCTGGAAGGGAAGATGAAAGCCTGGGGAATTCATAAGGGAAGATGAAAGCCTGGGGAATTCTGTGAGTATAGAGGTTCCAGCCAGAGCTGTCTGGAAAACCTTAGAGGAGTCATGACCCCAGCCTCTTGCTGTAGGGGTCATTTGATCAGAATGCTGTTCCTGCTCCAGTTAATTCTGTGGTCAATCTGCTGTCCAAGCTTAAAATCTCCAACCCCTTTGAGAGAACTGCTTATTGTAGTTATGTAATGGCATGTGTGCACTGGAAATAACTGTGGAGACGCAACTTATTAGGTGGGTTTGAGGAACTGGGATAAGCTCTTGCTAGGCTTATATGAAATGTACATGTCTCTTGTTTTCTAGGGAAAACAGGAAGAGAGTGATGTGGTGGAGAAGCTGAACCTTTTCCTGGATTTACTCCAGTCCTATAAAGTGAGTGTGCTGTTTCTTTGCCAGTGAAAAAATTGTTCAGAACATTTTTTGGCTTTTTACAGGGTGTAGCTCTAAGTGAATGGAAAAAGGGCTGGAAAAGCCAGTTCAGAGGCAAACTGGCGTGTTGAGTAAGGGGAGTGGTTCTCACCCTTAGCTAGCACTGAAGTATTACTGATTTGCTCTGGGCTTATGAAAAGTTTTGTGGACATCAGACCTTGCAAGAAGTTAAAGATTTCTATCTTCTTCACTTGTAGGAATCAGCTAAACTTTTATATATGTCAGCTGTTTTAGAGACAGAGGAAAAGCATGAATTAGTGGGCCAGGATGAAGACCTTTGTTCAGATGCACATGAAATTAGTCTTATGATCTCAGTCTACTCCTTGGACACCTTGCAGAAAACCTCTAAATACAGTTTAACACAGCTGGCAGACTTCCTGAAGAGGGGCAGGGCACTCCAAGCTAACACTGAAGTTAATTAGCAGTGTTTTATATTGAAAAGGGACACATAGCTAGGAAGTTTGGTATTGGTAAAGTTCAGAGTACATTGGCAGATATGAAGCGTCAGCTTGCCTGTTGTACCCTCTGTTGCAGTTCTGAGCAGTTCTGTTTCTGATTTTTTAAAAAAGGCTTTATTGGAAATAACACATTTTAGAAATTGCATGGGACACTTTTCATGCCCTCATTCTGAGCTGTGTACCTCTCTGGCTACGACTAGACTGCTAGCTTCTTTCAGAAAAAGCTTTTCTGGAAGAGATCTTCCAGAAAATCTTTTTTCGAAAGAGAGACTCTACACAGCGAAAGCACAATGAAAAAGCGATGTGCTTTTTCAAAAGATAGCGTAATCAATGTGGATGCTATCTCGCATTTCCGTTGTGATTACTGTGGATGGAGTGGCCACCAAGGCACCTGTGCTTTTTCCTGGAGGCCTTCTCTTTAGAAAAAACACTTTTTTCCATGTCCATACATGCCTTTTTCCTAAAAAGCTTTTTTGGAAAAAGGCTTCTTCCTCGTAGAAAGAGGCTTACCGCTGTCAGAAAAACCCCTCCCTTCTTTCAACTTTCTATTGAAAGAACACAATATCAGTGTGGACATAACTAGTTTTTCTGAAAAAACGGCAGTTTTTCTAGAAAAACTCTGCAGTGAGGCATACCCTCAGAAATACACATTCTCTCTTCCCCACGCTTGTCCATGGCTCCCTCCCCAATATCTAGTCTTTAATGTGAGGTAAGTATTGGTTGTTTCCCTTCTTCCTGAAGGATCTGTGTGAGAGGCATGAGAAGGGAGTATTGCATAAACACCAGCGAGCTTTGCACAAGTACAGCATGATGAAGAAGCAGATGATGAGCGCCACTGTGCAAAACAAGGAACTGGAGTCTGTGGAACAGCTGGAGTCACGAATTGTGGAGGTATGGCAGATGTTTGTGTGGGAGTGATGGGCAGCGTGTGTGGTAGATAGAAAACTTTTCCTAATACTGCCATGCTGTGGTTTATCAGTGTTTTTGGAACAGGTAGAAAGGGGACTGTCCTATAGCCAGAATGGGTAGGAATGGTGTCCCCAGCTTGTTTGTCAGGGGCTGGAAATGGATAACAGGAAAGGGACCACTTGATTACCTGTTTCTATTCACTCCCTCTGGAGCATCTGGCATTGGCCACTATTGGCAGACAGGATACTGGGCTACATGGACCTTTGGCCTGACCCAGTGTGACTGTTCTTATGGGTCACCCATAAATCTTAGTCATATTCAAATGAACTGCTGTGCTGCAAGGAAAGTGTACTTGTTCTACTGCTGGTGATTGGTGTCAAAACCAACATGGTCCAATATAGCTGAGTCTGGGAAGTACAGAAATGTACCTTCTGCCTGGTGGAAGGTGCTTGTTCTGTGACTTCACCAATTGCTGACAAGCAAAACAGGCACAAGACAGCTTTTTAATTTTGGTAAATGCTTGAATAACAGAGATAGAGAGGGGACTTGTGCTCTATTGGCATGAGTAGATGCTGAGGAATGATGCATTTCATCACCCTCCCCCCTCCCCTCCTTGTACCTCCCTTCTGAGCAAAGAGGTTAACTGGGTTTTCCATCTCCCAGCAAGAGAATGCCATCCTGACTATGGAGCTGCGGAATTATTTTTCTCTGTACTGCTTGCACCAGGAGACACAGCTGATCCATATCTACCTGCCTCTCACTTCCCACATCTTGGGGGCTTTTGTAAACTCCCAGATCCAGGGCCATAAAGAGGTAAGTTCTTCAGTCATCTTGCCTCCCTTCCTCCAAATAAAAATAGGTAGTTGAGCAGTTTGTTTTCCCTCTTTCTCAAAGAGTAGGGCTGTCCTTGTGAAGGTCATGCTGACAAACTCAGGGGAAGTGAGAGAGAATGTGAGTGAGAGTGTGTGTTTTGCTGTTCTTCCATTCCCCGGGGTGACTTTTTTGCTTTAGAGTTGGCTGAGAAATGTGGACTGGCTATTTATTTGTGGATGTTGGATATTTGCTACATGGATCTGCTTTTTTGCTTTGTGTTAAACAGAAAGTATTTAGCAAGAAACAGGATCCCTTTTTATGTATGTCTATTAATCATTCAGCATTTCTGAGGTTTAGACTTGTTTCTATGCATTGCGTATGGAAGTATTTGTTAGGGGGAGACACATTCTGTGGAGGCCTCTGAACAAGCCTTTGAAACTCTGTCTCTTCCCTACCTGCTTATTTTGGTAAGGATGACGTGGTCCTCGGAAAGCTACATGAAAGCAGCAGATTGATGGGGGGGAATGCTCTGGACTCACTGTCTGCTCGTCTACACTGGCCCCTTTTCCGGAAGGGGCATGTAAATTTCACCAGTCGTCGTAGGGAAATCCGCGGGGGATTTAAATATCCCCCGCGGCATTTAAATAAAAATGCCCGCCGCTTTTTTCCGGCTTTTAAAAAAGCCGGAAAAGAGCGTCTACACTGGCCCCGATCCTCCGGAAAAAGCGCCCTTTTCCGGAGGGTCTTATTCCTACTTTGAAGGAAAAAGGGAAAAGGAAAAGGGCACTTTTTCCGGAGGATCGGGGCCAGTGTAGACGCTCTTTTCCGGCTTTTTTAAAAGCCGGAAAAAAGCGGCGGACATTTTTATTTAAATGCCGCGGGGGATATTTAAATCCCCCGCGGATTTCCCTACGACGACTGGTGAAATTTACATGCCCCTTCCGGAAAAGGGGCCAGTGTAGACGTAGCCTGTTTGTTCATATAATATTTGGCTTTTGATCAACCTCCAACAGGGCTAAGTGCTGCCTTGAACTACTCAGTCCTTTGTGTGTTGTGTGACAAGATGGTGACCCATCAAGCTGTTTTGCTTTCTCTTCTCCAGATGAGTAAAGTTTGGAATGAACTGAAGCCAAAGTTGAGCTGCCTCTTTGTGGCACCCCACAATATGCCAACACCGCCATTGTCACCCCCGGAGGGCAACTTCTTTTCCAGTTAACTCTCTGAGATCTGACACTGACCAGGCTGAAGTGTGGTCAAGAGAGAAATGTAACCTCCAGTGCTTTTTTGTGATGGTACTGCCCAGTATGCAGTACTGGCACCTCCAGACGCAGTACTGGCACCTCAAGTCAGAGCTTACTTGGAAAGAACAGAGCTTTTCCCCTGGAGTACCGGCACCTTTTTTTTTTTTTAAACAAAAAAAGCACTGGTAACCTCTATCTCCAAACAAGAAAATGAAGCTTCCGAACAGCTATTTTTATACTGCTGCTTTGAGCTGCTCTCTGACTTATGGACAAACTGGAAACAGAACCACATACAGAGAGAGAGACACACACACACACACAATCTCTTGATTTTTGTTCTTTATTTTGAAGTGCCACAGGGCATGACTCACATTCATTGCCCTAGCGGCCCTCTGCCTAAGGACTGAAAGAGGCTTGGTACTCCAAGTCCTGCAGTTTGGCTATTGCTGAAGTCCCACATCGCTCATATGAATTACCCTCTTACAGCTATTTACACATATACTGGCCAATGTTTAAAGTGCTGAGATGCACAGGATGTATGACGTTTCCTTGCTGTTTAAGCTAAGGACCCAAAGTAGAGGCATGTGTGTATAGGAAGAGCTGAAGGGTAGCCTCCCTCTCCCCCCAGGCTCGTTCATTAGGTGTTTGATCTCATATTGCTAGATCCACATACAAACCAGGTAAAAATGTCTTGGTTGGCTCTCTAACTCTGTTGGGTGGGTGTGATGTTTTCCAGTGTGCAAGCTGAACTCGTGTCACAGGAAGGCACAGGGCATATTTGCTCATACATAGTAACGTATGGCCACAGATGACCTTGCTGAACAGTGTTTCTTACAGGAATCTGCTTGCCACATGGGTAGAAAATAGTTGATTGAAATGATAATACACTCCCTAGACAGGAATAACTTTTCATGCAGTAGAAGCAGGGCAGCTCTAGGGTGATTAACTTTCCTTGGAAGGGCTGGAGTCTCTCATGGGTGCCTATCTTATAGGCATCCTCAGAGGATGACTGCCTGTGAGAGCCCAAATTGGCTAATGCTGATGTTCCCTCTGGTTTAACTCTCAATTAATACATATCCAGGTCAGAACCGAAATTTAGTACATCAGTATATATCACAGTGCCACTCGTTTCTGGCACCGTATATACTGAAGATGAAGGCAAACTCCTTCAGGTGAAAGAGGCAATAAACTTTGAGTGAGTGAAAAGGAAATGTGCTAAGTAGGAAGAGTAATCTGTCTAATTTGGACTATAATTATTTCCCTATTCTAGGCAAGTTGACTATTAATAGGGGGTATATTCAACTTCTCTAATTCTAGAATTCTGATTCTCAGATATAATGTTGACTAGTTTCTGCTGCAAAAGTTTTTGTGCAAAAACTTGTGGAGCATCCACACTACAAGCCCATTCTTGCGCAAGAAAAAGTACAGTAAAGCGTCAGAAGAGAGGACTTTTTGTGCAAGAGTTATTCCTCTCCCCACGAGGAATAAACCTTTTTGAACAAGAGCGCTTGAGCAAAAAGGCACGTGTGGACGGGCAGCAGGGGGTTTTTATGCAAGAACTGACCTCCAGGAAAAAACACACATGCTCTGGTGGACACTCCTGAAAACTCATCACAGCTCTATAGTTCCTGTCCCCTGGCCCCACCTTAAAGGTGCTGGCCCCTTGGAGAAGCCCCGTGTCAAGAAGCGGATCCCAACCCTGCAGCATCTCTCCACGCGGTTCTCCCTGCCACAGCCTGGACAAGGCATGTCTGCCCCTGAGGCCCCCTGCAATTCCCCTGGCCCTAATAGGGAGCAGCCTCGGGGTCACAGGACCTACCCAGGGGCACCAAGAGGTGTGCACCCTCCTTGTCTGGGCCAGAGGTCGAGGCCCTTTTAGAGCTGTGGGGACAAGAGGAGGCCCTGCAGGATCCCTGGGCAAGGAGGAGAAATGCCGAGATCTTCGGCCGGATGGCACGGGCCTTGGCAGAGCACGGACACCCACTCCGGATCTTTGAGCAGGTCTGGAGTAAAGTCAAAGAACTCTGGCTCTCCTGCGTGCGTGCTGGCGAGTGCTTGGGGGCAGGACCCCACAGCTGCCCCTACTACAGCCAGCTGCACTGCATCCTGGTGGACGAGGAGGAGACCTCATCCATGATTGTGGACACTGGCCTGGGGAGCCCTGTCATCGCGCACCCAGAGCAGGAGCACAAGCGTGAGGGCCAGCCAGCTGCCCCAGCGGAGGATGAGGAGACCAGTCCATCATCACCCTGTCCCTGGAGCCGCTGCCTGGCAGCCAGGAAGTCTCCCAGGCCTCCTCAGAAGCCGGGGAAGGATCCTCAGGTGAGTTGTGTCTTGGTCACTCTCTCAGAGGGCGGGGGGGCCGGTTGGGCAGGGGGCGGGAGGGGGAAGTGCGTACAGTGCGTCGCTCGTGCTGCTCTGACTGGACATCGTGCTGGGCTCTGTGCACGTGCAACCTCGTGTTACGTTACTGTGTAGCACATGGATGCAGCAGGCAGCCCCTGAGCACGCCTGGTATCCTGCAGGACACACACATCCTGTCTGGAGGGGGGGGTGGGGGTGCCAGGC